AGTTTTATATTCTCCATATGATGGACAATGTTAAGTCCTATAAAATGATGGTATGGTTAAAGTCCATGATTCTCAAAGTTTGATGGATTGTCAAATGATTTGAAAGGCTTATTAAAGTGTAAATCACTAGCTCCATCCCACAGTTCTTGAATCGACAGGTCTGGGGTCAGATGGAGAATTTGCATCTCTAACCAGTTCCGAGGGGATGTTGAGCTGCTGATTCAGAGAACCAGCACTGTAAGGCAGAGTTGTGTGTGTGTGTGTTTTTTAAGATTTATTTATTTATTGGAAAGTCAGATATACAGAGAGGAGAGACAGAGAGGAAGATCTTCTGTCCGATGATTCACTCCCCCAGTGAGCCCAATGGCCGATGCTATGCCAATCCGAAGCCAGGATCCAGGAACTTTTTCCAGGTCTCCCACACAGGTGCAAGGTCCCAAGGCCACAAGCAGGGAGCTGGATGGGAAGTGGAGCTGCCGGGATCAGAACCAGTGCCCATATGGGATCCTGGTGCGTTCAAGGCGAGGACTTTAGCCGCTAAGCCACGCAGCTGGGCCCTGTAAGGCAGACTTGTGAAGAAGATATGCTGCCCTTTTTTTAATTTATTTATATTGCAAAATCAGATACACAAAGGGGGAGAGACAGAGAGGAAGATCTTCCATCCACTGATTCACTCCCCAAGTGGCTGCAACGGCCAGAGCTGATCTGATCCAAAGCTAGGAGCCAGGAGTTTTTTTTCTGGATCTTACACATGGGTGCAGGGTCCCAAGGCCTTGGGCCATCCTCGACAGCTTTCCCAGGCCACAAGCAGGGAGCTAGATGGGAAACGGGGCCGCCAGAATTAGACCTGGCACCCAAATGGGATTCAGGCATGTGCAAGGCGAGGACCTTTAGCTGCTAGGCCATTGTGCCATTCCCGAATTTCAATACTTTTAAAGATTTATTTTATTATTTTTTCATTGGAAAGGCAGATATACAGAGAGGAGAGACAGAGAGGAAGATCCTCCGTCCGAAGATTCACTCCCCAAGCGAGCACAACGGCCGATGCTATGCCGGTCCGAAGCCAGGAGCCTCTTCCAGGTCTCCCACGTGGGCACAGGGTCCCAAAGCTTTGGGCCATCCTCGACTGCTTTCCCAGGCCACAGGCAGGGAGCTGGAAGGGAAGCGGGGCTGCCGGGATAGAATCGGCGCCCATATGGGATCCCGGGCTTAACCACTGCGCCACCGCGCCGGGCACTGAAAGGCAGATTTTTAGAGAGAGAAATAGAGTTAGAAAAATCTTTGATCTGCTGGGTCATTCCCCAAGTGACCACAACAACCGATATTGAACATCCCAAGCCAGGAGCCAGAAGCCTTTTCTAGGTTTCCCATATATGTGCCGGGTCCCAATACCTTGGACCATCCTCTACCACTTTCCCAGGCTACAGGTATGGAGCTGGATGGGAAGTAGAGTAGCTGGAATGAGAACTTGTACTCATATGGGATCCCAGTGTTTGGCGGGAGAGGGTTAGCCAGTTGAGTTATCATGCCTGACCCTAATCAGTTGTTTTAAACTAAATTCTCTGGAGGTACTTTGAGGTCAGAGGGAAGGGGCGAAGTGGGGCAGGCACCCTGACAACATAGCAGATGGACCTGTATTTGATACATTGAACTTCTTTGTAGTCTTGTACTTAAAGTATTTCTTGATCACATGGCACGCATGCATGTGTACAAGTTTCTCTCAGGTCCCTTTCATAAAAAGATGCATCGAGTCTATCTATGTACAGTAAAGCTTGGAAGTTGGTGGTCCAGCTGACCCAGATCATGTTTTATTTGTCTTGCACAGTGTTTGGAATTTGTAAATTAAAGTGTGACCATCTACAATTTGAAGATAAAAATCCAGGTCCTGTTTTCTTGTGAAAATTTGATATGTCTGATAATTTTGTGGCCATATTTCCAAATAGCCATCTGCTAGAGTTGAGTAGCAGCAGCTGCTATTGCTATAGCACTTTGAATTTACCCGCCTGGTCTCTGAATGTATTTGAGTTTTCTGTTTCCCATTTATGCCCTCCACAGTGCGGGAACATCAGCAGAACTGACTTATCCAGTGTTGGCACTACTGTAGAAATAACAAGGGAAATGACTTGCCATGTTTGCCCTGTAGGACAGTTGTTTCAGCATAGCTGAACTGCATGTGCTTCTTTTCATTTTGCCATTCCCTTAACTGAGCAGTTGGTTCTTAAATGCTGGCTGTTGGTTATATAATGGCTATTGCAAAATGACTTCTGAATCAGAATTAAAAAGTGTGTTTTAATGCATGCCACCAAAGAATCTGACCACTGGACATGCCAAAAATTGAGGGACTGGGTCTTTTAGAGACAGTAAACAGAGTAAATGCTACTTGTTGCCTGTGCCCGCCCCCCCATCTGAGTCCCACAGAAGGCTACTTGCCCACTCTGGGCCCTCTCCCCACCTGCCACCCTTCCCTCTCCTCCTCCCCCCCACCCCCACCCCCAAGCGTGGAGGCAAGTGAGAAGAGTCTGTTGTTTATTCTACAAGTACTTGTCTCTGAGAGATGAGGTGCACTGTGGGGCTATGTCTTGGTTCCATCAGGACAGGTGGACTTGTCACTGGGCTAGCATCCTCCAGAACTGTTGTAGCTAGAAGCAGTGTGAGTTCTATATGTGTCATTTATAAATCAGTTATGTAGATTGTAGCAATATAATCAAATCTTATAATTTTTTTTGTCTGATCTTTGATTTACTAGGAATGATATGTGGAGAATTTTCTTTATGATCATGGCATTGTCTATTTCTCCTTGGAATTGTGTTGCTATTTATATATTTTAAGGTGATTTTAATTAGGTGTATATCATGCATGCAAATGTATTATATAGTATATTTATTGTATCCAAAATCTGAATGTTGAATGGCATAACGTATTTAATTGATCACTCAAAGTAGAAATCTTCATTCCTTCTTTTTATCTTTAAAAAATAAGAAGCTTAGTCAAGGAAGGAAGGAAGGAAGGAGAGAGAGAGAGAGAGGGTGGAAGCAAGGTAAGCTTTATGATTCTATTTATGTAGTGACAGGAAGTCAATTATGGTCGGCAGGAGACAGAAGTAACTGGGGGAAGGAAGGAAGGGAAGGGGTAAGAAGAAACTTTTACCCCTGGTCTGAGGTAATTGCTTCAAACTTACCACACTGTGTGCTTCATTCATACTCAGTTAGTTGTGTATAAATTATACCTGAATGCAGCTATGTGAGAGGAGGGGCCCTTAATACCAAGTGTTTCTTGCCTAGCCCTCTGTCCTGCCACCCAAGTCCTGTTGTCCAGAGGCAGCTGCTTTGAACTGTCACAGGAGCCCCTCTGACACAGAAGTCATCTTTAAGGGCTGTGCTAACTTCATTGTCTATGACTTAACCAGTTTAGAACTCCAGTCTCTGTTTATTCTTCGCCGCTATGGTAGCTGCTGATTGATTTTTGTTATTCTACTGCTTTGATTTTTCTTTCCAAACTCCTAATAAATCAGTAGTTTACTAGGACTATTAAATGCTACATCCTGCTGAGTTCAGGCACAAATTTTGACTATATTTACTACCCATAGTTATTGTAACAATTCAATTTTTCCTTACTTGCTTTACTTCTTGTGAACCTACAGCTATGCAACCCCCAAGTCCTAAGACTCGTCAGCTACTACTGGCAGGGGTCGGCTCACACACCCCTCTGTCCCTCCGTGCCCCTGGTGGCCTTCCTGCCCTACCTGACTGTCCTGTCACATGCATTCTGCTTGCTTTCTGGAGCAGACTCCTGGCTGTGGTGCTGATGATCTTGCATTTGTCAATGCTGGATCAATTACTTCCTGAGCCCCCATCATTTTACTTCCTTGTTTATTCATACATTCCTCAATTACTGCATTTCTGATTACTTCATTGGGAAGAAATATAAAATTTAAAATTGGTTGTTCCTTGAAGGACCAAAAATTCATTGTTTTATCCTTATTCAGATAGAATAGAACAAAATTGAATTGAATTCTAGTTTGAAAGTAAGTTCCTTCAGACTTAGTTATTTTCATTGTCTTCTAGCATCTGGTATTATCAAATACTCAGAATTTAATGTCTTTGCACATATCCTGTTTTCTGCCTGTGTGGGAGAATTCTTCTCTTTATTTTGATACTTATAATATTCACTTTATCTTGAAACTCTGAAGTTTTTAATTGATATGTCTTGTCATTGTTCACTGTTTTAGAGACTCATTTGTACAATAAATATTTATAGAGAAATCACCATGTGATAGACACTGTTTTAGACATATTGAGGATACAGTGGTGAACAAAATAGAGTCCCTTTTCTCATGGAATTTCTGTTCTCTTGCTTTGGATGTGTTGGATTTGAGGTGAAGTTGACAACCAAGTGGAGCTATCCAGGAGGCAGATGTAGGATTTAAGTCTAGGATTCACAGCAAGGTTGGGCATCAGGTGGGTGAGTTTACTGCCGCAGAGTGAACAGATGGAGGAGAGATCTGAGGCCTGGGCACTTCAGTATGTTTTTGTTTTTAAAGATTTATTTATTTTTATTGGGAACGCAGATTTAGAGAGAGGAGAAACAGAGAAAAAGATTCTCTGTCCACTAATTCACTTCTCAAGTGACTGCAATGGCTAAGCTGAGCTGATCCTGAGCCAGGAGGCAGGAACCTCTTCCAGGTCTCCCACATGGGTGCAGGGTTCCAAGGCTTTGGACCATCCTCTACTGCTTTCCCAGGCCACAAGCAGGGAGCTAAATAGGAAATAGGGCAGCTGGGACACGACATGTCGCCCATATAGGATTCTGGCAGATGCATGGCAAAGATTTAGCCACTAGGGTGTCACTCTAGGCCCCCAAATTTAATTATACTGAGAGGGAGATTTAAAGATTCTTTTGGAGTATAGTGATAAAGTACATATTGTAAACATTAAATTAACTAATTTCATTCAATTTATTAATAAGCGTTCTAATTTTGTTTTCTTTTTTTTTCCTAATAGCATTTTCTTCCTCTTGCAAATCTGAAATGTTCCCCAAATGTTGAAACTTTTCTTTGCAAAGCTTTTATACCTACCTGTACAGAACAAATCCATGTGATTCCACCTTGTCGTAAATTTTGTGAGAAAGTATATTCGGATTGCAGAGAATTAATTGACACTTTTGGGATCCGATGGCCTGAGGAACTTGAGTGTAACAGGTAATTTGTGTTTTTCACTGAACTCTGCTAATACTGTTAATACTAGTGCTAGCTTTTCAGAATGTCAGTGATAGGCTCTTATATAATTCAATCAATGTTCATTTCACACTAATGCATGCCAGACACTCTAATGGTAAGTGTTGAGAACACAATGGTTTACAAAACATAGACCTGGTTCCTACTCTCAGAGAATTTATAGTAAGGTGAGAGGAACAAATAAGAATCAAATTACTGTGCAAATAAATGTAAAAATACAATAATATGCAGCAAAGAAGAGACACTTGGTATTGGATACCTTTGACCCCACTGGAGAAAGGGAAGAGACGACAACTCTCCCTTCAGACCACTAGACAGTGAGTGGGAGAAAAGAGCATCTGTGACCATGGGAGTAGCTTGTTTGGAGGAAGGTTGGCATATTCCTAAAATTAAAAAAAAACCACTGTGACTAGAGTGATGAGGCCACTAAAGAATGTGGTGCATGATAAAGGAAGAAGCAAAGCCTGGTCAGACCATTTAGAACTCATCTTACCTGCTTCTTTGCTAAGAACAATGAGAAGTGAAGTGCTTTAGGTAGGAATGGGTGGCATGATCCTGTTAGCTTCTTTGTAGAGCATGACCTCAGGTCACAATCTGTTGAGCACTGTGCAGCTGTATTTGCAGTTTACTTCTAAATTCCGGATGGCTTCCGTTTTGCACTGGTGACAGCCATGTAGCTGGGCAAGAGAAGGCAAAGAGCATATATACCTCTTACTAACTGCTTCAGATTGGAAGTATCATACTTTTCCCACTCACATCCCTGTTGGCAAGGTCTCAGTCCCAATTGAACTGGCAAATGGAAAATGAGTGTCCAAAAGGGTAAAAGGTATTGAAGGCAGAGGAAGTATCTGATGCTGCCAGCTGAAGAGATAATTACCTCAAAAAGGCGGGGGGGAGAAAAAGATAATTGCCTCATATTTCACTGAAATAACTGGGGCAAAGGGTGAAGGAGTAAGTGGAAAGTGAGACAAGACACTTAGCTACCTCTCAGGAAATTTAGTTATAAGAAGAAAAGAAAAGAAACATGGTACTCAGAAGGGGAGAGTCATAAAACTGGATTTGTGTGTGAGAGAAAGAGAGAGAGAGAGAGAGACAGAGAGGAGGGAAGGGAAGGAAGGAGCAAGTGAGCCAGAGAGCTTCTTTCTAATATTTCACTCCTCGAGTCCCCACATGGCCACAGCTGAGCCAGGCTGAAGCTGCAAGGCAGGAACTCAATCTGCATTGGGCAGAAATCCAACTATGGGCAGACAGCCATCACCACTGTCCCCCAGAGTGAGTCAGCAGAAACCTGGAGTCAGGATCCAGGGGTGAATGTCAAATTCAGGTGCTGCAATATGGGACATGGGCATTGTAACCAGTGTCTTAACCACTCGGGTCACGTCTTGCACCCAGGAGATTTTAATGGCCAATAAGTGAGAACTGATTCTGTGGTTTTAATGGGAAAATTTGCCTTTTATTAGAAAAGAACTGATGATTTTAAGAATTGCTAGGTACAAGGAAGAGGTGCACATACATGAAGTAGAAGAGATAATCAACAGTAGATGCTTTCTAATGAAGAGTAGGATACCCAGGTACAGAGAAAATGTTGGCCATGGGTGGGAAGGCCTCCATTTTAATAGCAGGAAGGAGGGATGAGGGCAGGTCTGTAGGTTTGGGTAAGGGTTCTTGCAGAGTTCCCACTTCATGGCTTCCATTTCCATTGTGAAGTAAAAAGAGAAAGAGCAGTGATAATTATACAGTGGGAGAGTGAGTAGACTGGAGACTTCCTAATAGTGTGGGTTAATCATGTGGAATTCAGTTTACAGCGGACCTTGTCTGACCTTCTCCAGCAGTTGTGGGATGTTTGGAATTAGGCATGTAGTTGGGTTCACCTGTTGATAGGATTTTGTCAGATGATTCAGGGCAAAAACAGAGGAACAGTTTTTAAATGAAGGATAATGAAAAGGATGTTACTGGGTAACAATTCCTGCTGGAGTTGATTTGGAGTTAGTGTGCACTTATAGGTTGGGGCTGGGTTCCCTGTGTGTCTGTGATTGCAGGTGCACGGGGTAGGTTAGGAATATAATTGGAGATGAGGGGGTTAAGGAGTTGAGAACCCAGAGTGTCATGGATCATCCACATGAATTGTCAAGTCACCGAGAAAGAAGATTACAAAAGGAGAAGGGAGAAAGCTGGTTACTCATTCAACAAAAAATTCATTGCCCTTATGCTTTGTGTCAGGAATTTTCAAGGCACTAAAGATACAATGGACAAAATTTTCTGTCACTGCAGATCTTATTTTAGTGGAGAAAGAGAAACCATGAAAAAATTTATATTTCATGGTTATGTATGAGAAAGTAAGACTTCTGGAAAAACTATTTTCTCTATCAGATTTCCTACTCATTTTCAAATTGGGAGAGCTAATAATTTACAGAACTTTATAGTAGCATCTGTATTTTCATTCTCAATTCTTTTGGTATGTTGATCTTCGTGGATAGACTTTGTTGAGTAATTGATGTGTTTTTCCTTGTAACTTAGCCAAAACGAACTTATTTTATATTTTAGAATAATTGATACTTTGAATTGAGTAGAATCCATTTCTAAATTATTTAATTCCTATATTAATCTGTATTGCAGTAATATTAAAAAAACATGAATGTTCCTTTATAAATATTATATATGGGGCTGGCATTATGGCTCAGTGGATTAAGCTACCACCTGTAACTCTGGCATTCCATATGGATGTCAGTTCAAGTCCCAGCTGCCCCAATTTAAACGTAGCCTTTTAGGGAGTGAACCAGCACATGGAAGATCTGTTTATCCCTCTCTGTCTCTGTCGAAGAAACAAAATAAATCTTAAAGATAACTGTATTCATTGATAATATAGGAATGATTTTATTTTCATTTCCTTTAGGTTTTTGTGACATCTTATTTCCTCTGAATTTTAAACACCCAGAAAGAAAAATAGCAACTTGTGATTAAAATCTTGGTTCTATTTCATTGAACAATTTCTTACACAGTGGAAGGTGTTTTTTTTTTTCAATTTTATTTTTCATGATTTTTTTTACATAGTTGATTGGGGTATGAAGGGTCAAGGGCTAGAGTAAAGTGGGTGAGACCATTGTTTCCACATTCTTTTTTTTCCTTCCTGTATCTGGGGGTAGGAGGAGATAAAGGGAGAAGCCACACCCAGCCTCCCAACCATCCCAGGGTCCCCAGTGTGGGGCACTGCTCAAGTGGTTTTGATAGTTCGGTAGTTCTGAATTGCTGCCGAACTTGCCACTCCAAGCACCGTGAAATCTCCCCAGAATCCGCTGGCTGACATAGTCCACCTTAGAGTCTCCAATTGGTTAGATTTTCACTGCCAGCACTCGGCTGGGGTAGTTAATTGATTTGTTCTGTCCTCCGTCCTCTGTTACCAGGTGTTCTCTGCAGGTTCTAATGTACTGCCATATCCTCTATGTGCACCTGGATATGCTGTCTACTGCTCCATCAAAGCCACTGAGGAGGCCCAGCTCTGACATATGCATTCCACAGTCAGACCATGGAACTTGCAATTCTCTCCATGGCTGGATTTCTGAGTCCAGCAGTTCAGTTGTGGGGGATCCCCAAAGAAATTTCATCTGAGGTGATTCCAGACCTGATTCTTGTGTGTGCTTGCCAATACAGGGTCCAGCACAGTCCATCGTCCAATTCAGCATACACACACACTGGTAGTTGCATTTTCTGGATCAGTTCTGCCTCCAGCCCTGTCTTCTATGCCAACCAGTGGGTGTTTCAGCCCATTCCGATCCTGCCCCCCACACACTTAGTCTTTTTTTTTTTTTAAGATTTATTTTTATTGGAAAGGTGGATATACAGAGAGGAGAGACAGAGAGGAAGATCCTCTGTCTGAAGATTCACTCCCCAAGCGAGCACAACGGCCGGTGCTATGCTGATCCGAAGCCAGGAGCCTCTCCTCCAGGTCTCCCATGCGGGTGCAGGGTCCCAAAGCTTTGGGCCATCCTCAACTGCCTTCCCGGGCCACAGGCGGGGAGCTGGATGGGAAGCAGGGCCGCCAGGATTAGAACCGGCGCCCATATGGGATCCCGGGCATGCAAGGTGAGGACCTTAACCACTGCGCTACCGCACCGGGCCCCCACACTTAGTCTTCACATAAACCAGTGGGAGCTACAGCCTGGTTGGAGTAACTCACAATAACCTCCAACAGGCCCGCCTGCTGCCCTGGTTTTCATGCTTGCCAGTATGTGCAGCAATCTGTCCCACATCCCATTCAGCTCTCATATACGTCAATGAGCATTAAAGCTTAATCCAACCCAAGTAGCCCCACTATCCAATCTACACTGGTGCTGGTGGGTGCCACTTTATCTAGTCACGCCTGCCCCTAGTCCTGGTCCTTGTGCTCACCAGTGGGAATTGCAAGCCAAGAGGGACGTACCCACTATTGCCCTAATGGGCTCACTCCCATTCTTGGATCTTGCACTCTCCAGGTATATTTCTGCAGTTTAACTTGACAGAATTTGCCGCCCCCCCCCCCCGCCCCCCATGCCAGCATCTGCTAGCAGATGCTGCAGCAAAGCCCAACCACCCCACACCCACTCTGGCTTACTGTACCAGTAGGTACAGTCAACCCAGCCTGGCTTTGCATTGATCCAGCTCACATGCAGGCCAACAGGTGTTGTAACCTTGCCCAATCTGGTCTGCCCCCCAGTTCCAGCTCTCACACTCACCAGTGGGAGTAGTGGTCCAGCAGGGGAGCCTCACACAGCCCCCCCTACCAAGTTTACTCCTGAGCCACCAGAACTCGTGTGTGCTGGGTGAGTGCTGTAGCCCAATCTGGCATAGCCTGCCTCACTTTGGCACTTACCAGTGGATGTTGTAGCCCAGCCACACCCCAGTTCCAGCTTGTACTGATTAAGGCTACAGCCTAGCCCAGCCCAGGCCTGACAGTCCCCAGTCCCAGCCCTAATGTAAACTAACTGGTATTATGGCCTGACCCAGCATGACCTACACACCATTCTGGTATTCATATTTACCATCAGGTGATATGAACTGGCCTAGCCTGGTTCACCCCAGATCTGAGCCAAATGTATGCCAGTGGGTACTGCTACCTGGGCTGATCTGGCTGCTCCCTGTCTTGGTTCTTGTGCTCACCTGCAGGGACTGTGTCCCAACAGAGGAGTTGCCAAGCTCCTCCATTAAAACCTCTCCCAGTGCCAGATCTCATGCATAATGGAGGGACCAGGGGCCAGCCATACTTAGTCCACCTTCTGTCTTAGCAGGAACAGTGGCGTTTCCTTACTTGCCCCTACCCATCTGGTTCTTACTATTGACTGCTACAGCCCAGCCAAACCTGGTACACACCCAGACAAAGCTCATGTATGGCTCTGCAGGGACAGAGACCTAACCTAGCCTGTCCTACACCCATCCTGGTTCTCATGAGCTCCAGTGGGTGCTGGAGTCTAGCCCAGTCTGGCATACCCCAGACCCAGTCCACACCCATGCTGAAGGACACTGCAGCCATGTCCAGACCAGATCGCAACCCCAACTCCAGCCCTTGCACTCACCAATAGAAGCCACAACCCAGCCAGGGCGTCCCCTTAGCTACTCAACTAGGCCTGTTCCCAGCCACAGATCTCATGTTGCTCTGATCCAGCTTGGCATATCCCCTCACCTTTTTTTGCCTTTGTCTTTGGATGCTGCAGCCTGGTCTGACCCGCTGACCACCAGTCCCAACTCTGGCTGGCGGGTACTGGAACCTGGCCCTGCTCAGTCTGTTCCCATCCCTGGCTCATGCAAACCAGTAGGTGTGATAGCCTAGCCTAGAATGACCTGCACTCCAGCCTGTTTTCTGTACTTACCAGTGGGCTAAAGTCTGCTTTGCCCTGCCATTCTGCCCCCTTCCAGAGCCATCCCACATACTTGCCATTGGATAGAGCTACCTTGCCCAGCTTGCCCAACACCCAGGCCTGGGCCATGTGCTCATCAGTGGGAGCTATGACTCACTGTAGGAGTTGCCCAGCTTCTCCTGATTGGCTCACTCCCAAACCCAGATCCCTCATGTGGGTGCCAGGCCCCCATCTGGCACATCCTGTCCTCTGCATTCTGGCCTTTGTATGAGCTGGAGGATGTTGCGTCCTGGCCCGCCCTACACCCTGTTTTAGGGTGTGCATGTAAGTGCTGTAGTCAGCACCTGCTGAACCTATTCCCAGCCCCAGTAACCGTTGAGTGTTGGTGGATTCCATGATCACACTTAGCTCAACCCACCACTACCCCAACTCTTAAGCTAACCAGCGGGACTTGTAATTCCACAGGGTTAAGCCCATATGTCTCCCATAGAATCTACTCCCTGGACCTGGTTCTCTTGTGTGCTGGTTAGTGTCATGGCCCAGCCTAATGTGACTCGTCCCCCAACACTCACTGTCAGGTACTGGGATCTAGCCCTGCCAGACAGGCCCCCAGCCCTAGCTTTCATGTGGGCTAGAGTGTGGTGGTCAGCAATGTTCCATGCTAATAAGCCCAGCTCAGAACTCCCATGTGGGCTGGTGCATTGGTCTGACCCGTAAAGGTCTTCTGGTCTGCCCTGTGCTCAGACAGCTTGCCAGTAGGTTACCCTCTCTTCCTCTTCCTCAGTCTCGTTATCCTGCAGCAGTGCACGGCACCATACCTCCTGAGAGTCTGTGGAACCTTAGCTCTTGCAGTTATAATGTTTGGGTTTTCTTGATGTTTCTGTCTTTATTATGGTAATCATCCCCCAACCACATATACTTGCCTTGGCTCATGACAACATCCCTTCCTGAAGTGATATATCAGCAGGCATTGTAACTCCTCACTTGCTTTAGTGGGGCAGGTTTCTAAATTATTAAGTACATCTCAAAATGAAAATAATGCAAATTGGCAAGATTAACAAATATTCTTACAGTGTTAAGGCAAAAATGCCAACTATGCTTATTGAATGGGTTCTTATCAGCGTTATTGTAGTATTTCTCAAGCAGTTTGTCTACTGGATATAAAAACTTTAGGCATATACTCACTGTCTCTTAAAAAGTGTAAGCCTTTCTATGACAGTGAACAAAGTAAATACTGACTGGCTTGATCAACTGTAGTTAGAGTTCATACGAGAAAGGATTTTAAGCACAGTTATATGATTGAGCATTATTATCAATTTAATAGCCTTTTCACGTCACTCTATATTGCTTTCATTTTGTATTTTCTAGACATTGGGATTTTGTAATTTTAAATATTCTACATATAGATTTTTGTTTTTTTATTCTAAGACTGAGGGAACCACAGAACTTCTGTGGAGCTACACATGTCTGGCAGATGTATCACCATTTTCAAGAACAACTGAATAAAGTTATAATTGCTCACCCCTTACATTATATGAAATCCATTTTATTTATTATTACTTTATGATATAGTTCCATAAGCTTTGAGATTTCCCCTACTCCTCCCAAACCCCCCATCCACTGACTTCCCCTTTAGTATTACAATGTGTAATCCTTCATGATCAGTCATAAATCCGTTGTTCTGTTATTTACGTGTATACTAATGTTGTAGGTATGAGTAACAGCAGAGTCCAGCATCCCACAATGAGGATATATCTATGAAATCCCTTTCTGTAGAAGCATTTACACAAGTGAGGAGTCTTAGAATATTGTTGTCCGTAACACTGTGCCTGGGGCTTAATGGGGAGGAGTCTCCAGTTCCATAGAACAGTTAACAAATGGAGATGTGTTTACTTACTGGAATACTGCTAGACAGTTGATAAAATGAGTGCTGTTGACCCACATCTATCAACGTGGATAAATGTAAAAGATGAAATGTCAAGTTTGAAAGAAATTATAGAATGGTGTAATTTATATGAAGTTCAAAATCTGTGAAATGATAAAACTATGTTTAGTGAATGACATAGAAGAATATTTTTAAAGTGAGTTCTTTTTAAACCCCTTCACCCATTACTTTTAAAGCCATACAAACCCAAAATAATACTGGTGTGAAGAAACTCGACTCAGGGAGAAAGTTCTGCACAAAACAGAATTATGAATCCCTGTGTATCACCCAGGTCTCTTCATAAATCAGTGAGAAAAACAAACCAAAGCTAAATAAAACAAGTGTGGGCTGAGCTGGTCCTCAGCCTCCCTCTCCATGGTATCCTTGATTTTCCTTAAGAACTCTGTGCTGCCAATCCAGGCTTTCAGTCATTTTAGTTGGCATCACTTCACTCATATGATTGATCTGTTTTGCTTGTGAGGATTAGTAATAAAAGAGGGGCTTCAGCATAGTGGCTCAGTTTATTAAGCTGTTGCCTAAGACATCAACATTCCATGTCAGAGTACAAGTTTGACTCCTGGCTATTCCACTGCTAATCCAGATCCCTACTACTGTGCCTGGGAAAGCAGAGGAAGATGGCGCAGGTACTTGGACCCCTGCCACTCACCTGGGAGAAGTTTTAGGTTCTAGGATTTGGCCTGGCCAGCCCCTTAGCTTTGTGGTCACTAGGGAGGTAAAGCAGCAGATGTCCCTCGCTCCATCTCCCTCTCTTCTTCTCCCCCTCTCTCTTGGTGGGGAAATGTGTCAGCATTCTATTACCCTTTTGAATAAATAAGTCCTTTAAAAAAGTGAATTTTGCCAACACTGACATTTTATGTACTGTAAACAAACATACCAGTACTCAAACCCATAAACTATCAGTTCAGAGCAATTGTCTTAGGTGTTTAGTCTTTTTAAAAATTAATTTATTTATTTGAAAAGCAGAATGGCAGAGAAGTAGAGAGATCTTCCATGAATGTTCGTGCACTCCCTCAAATGACCATTGCAGTCAGGAGCCAGGAACTCACTCTGTCTCTGTCTCCTGTGGGGGTGTGAGGAGTCAAGATACTTTGGCTACCTTCTACTTCCTTCTTTGGAGCATTAGCAGGAAGCTGGATTGGGAGCAGAACAGCCAGTACTTGAACCAGCACTCTGGTGGGGTGCTGGCGTTTCAGGTGGCAGCTTAACCCTCTGTACCACAGAAAAAGCTCTGAAATACTCCATTGGAAGAGCAGAAGTTATTTTTAAATGTTTCATTTGGGTCTGATGGCTGCTTAAAATGCCAGGTTCCAACATGAGTGCTGGTTGGAATCCTAGCTGCTCCACTTCCTGTGCAGACCACCTGTTAATGAGCCTTGAAAAGTCATAGTGCTTGTACTCTTGCTGTCTATGTGAGGGACCCTGACCATAGGGGCTGTTCGGGTCATTTGGGGAATGGACCAGAAGTGGAAGATTCTCTCTCCTTCTTTTGCTAAGTCTTTTGAATAAGCACATTTTTTAGCTTTTTTTTTTTTTAAATTGGAAAGTCAGATACACAGAGAGGAGGAGAGACAAAGAGGAAGATATTCCATCCGATGATTCACTCCCCAAGTGGCTGCAATGGCCAACGCTGAGCTACTCTGAAGCCAGGAGCCTAGCTTCCTCTAGGTCTCCCATACAGGTGCAAGTTGCCAAGGCTTTCAGCTGTCCTCACCTGCCTTTCCAAGCCACAAACAGGGAGCTGGATGGGAATTGGGGCCTCCAGGATAAGAACCAACTCCTATATAGGATCCTGGCGCGTGCAAGACAAGGACTTTAGCCACTAGGCTACTGAGCCAGGCCCAAATACATTTTTAACAATTATTAATTTACTGATTGTTTTCCAATTTTCATGTTCACCTGTCTTGTGTTTATAATATGTGTTAGTGTTTTATCATCTTATTAACAACCATTTTTAGTTAACTACAAAATGTTCTATCCAGTCTAACCTGTAATCTAGTTAATATCCTGTGTCTTCCCATCAATTATGAAAGCATAAGGTAATGTTTTATGATTGGACAGCATAACATTAAAATGATGGGTCAATAGAATTGTTGACTTACATGTTTAATTTTTATTATTTTTCCAGATTACAGTACTGCGATGAGAATGTTCCTGTAACTTTTGATCCACACACAGAGTTTCTTGGTCCTCAAAAGAAAACAGAACAAGTTCAAAGAGACATTGGCTTTTGGTGTCCGAGGCATCTTAAGACTTCTGGGGGACAAGGATACAAGTTTCTGGGAATTGACCAGTGTGCACCTCCATGCCCCAACATGTATTTTAAAAGTGATGAACTGGAGTTTGCAAAAAGTTTCATTGGAATAGTTTCTATATTTTGTCTCTGTGCAACTCTGTTCACATTCCTTACTTTTTTAATCGATGTCAAGAGATTCAGATACCCAGAGAGACCAATTATTTATTATTCTGTCTGTTACAGCATTGTATCTCTTATGTACTTCATTGGTTTTCTGCTAGGCAATAACACAGCCTGCAACAAGGCAGATGAGAAGCTAGAACTTGGTGACACAGTTGTCCTCGGCTCCCAAAACAAGGCTTGCACTGTCTTGTTTATGTTTTTGTATTTTTTCACAATGGCTGGCACCGTGTGGTGGGTGATCTTGACAATTACTTGGTTCTTAGCGGCAGGAAGAAAATGGAGTTGCGAAGCCATTGAACAAAAAGCAGTTTGGTTTCATGCGGTTGCCTGGGGAGCCCCGGGTTTTCTGACTGTTATGCTTCTGGCAATGAACAAAGTTGAAGGAGACAACATTAGTGGAGTCTGCTTTGTTGGCCTCTATGACTTGGATGCGTCCCGCTACTTTGTACTCTTGCCACTGTGCATCTGTGTGTTTGTCGGCCTGTCGCTTCTTTTAGCTGGCATTATTTCCTTGAATCATGTGCGACAAGTTATACAACACGATGGACGGAACCAAGAGAAACTGAAGAAATTTATGATTCGCATTGGGGTCTTCAGTGGCCTGTATCTTGTGCCACTAGTGACACTTCTTGGCTGTTACGTCTATGAGCAAGTGAACAGGGTTACCTGGGAGATCACATGGGTGTCTGACCACTGTCATCAGTACCATATTCCCTGTCCCTATCAGGTAAACTGTCATTTGGATTTTATCACTCTTTCCTCTTAATGTAGAAAGTAGAAATTACAGTTCAGGTGAAAGATGAAAAAGCCATAATGAGTGATTCCTTCTGCTTCACCAGAAACTCTGACAAGCGTCCTAAGCATCCTTTCCTCAAGCTTTAGCTTCACTGACAATCTTACAGTGCCTGCTTTAACTGTTTGGAAAATTGACTTGGGTTGCAAAGGTGAATTCACAATAATGGGGAGAGTAGAACAGCCCTTCAGAGGGAGAAATAAGTAACTTCTACTGAACTGAAAATTGTGTTTTCATTCTTCTATATTAATAGGAGAAATCCTTTTTTGGATTTATTTAATTAATTAAGCTTTTAAAGATTTATTTATTTATTTGAAAAGCAGAGTTACAGGGAGAAAGAAGAGACATAGCTTCCATTCTTTGGGTCACTCCCGAAAAGGCAGCATCTGCCAGGGACCAAAGTCAGGAGCCAGGAGCTTCTTTGTAGGGTCCCACGTGGATGCAGGGACCCAAGTACTTGGGTCATCTTCTGCTGCTTTGCCAGGCATGTTGGCTGGGAGCTGGATCAGAAGGAAAGCAGCCAGGACTCAAACCAGCACCCATATAGGATGATGCAGGCTATGGCTTAACCCACAGTGCACGGTGCTGGCCACCCCCCGCCAATGCATTTAATATATTCATATTATAATATGACTCATTGGGAATGCTTGTAAAAAACAATTTGATTTTGCCTACCCCATCATTTGCCTATCCCATCATTTCTAAACTGAACAAAGCAATTAAAAGGAAGTGAGTTTCGTATGTTTCTGATGCTTATGACTAGTATAAAGGCGATGATTCTAAAACTCAAATCAGTACAGTTCTGAAACAGTAACATTTCTTAAAACATTTTAGCTGATACTTTCCTAATAGAAATTTGTGTTCTTAGGTTTTATACATTCTAGAATGCTTGTGGACGATATTAACTCTGCCAAACATGAGAACCATCACAGTCCACCAAATCAAATAATATGTGGACTGGGTTATTTTGCATAATATTGTATATCCTAGAAAGCAGTTGCTTTACATGTAATGGATTCTATGTTTTGATGTGTGTGTGTGTGTTGAACAGTGTCCCTTATGTTGCATGCTGTCCCCAGTCTGTTTTTACTATACTGACTGCAGCGGTTGTGTCTTGGAGTGGAGCTGGTGTGTTGAATGTCTTCCAGGTTCCCCAGGCCTTCAGGCAGATGGGGTGGGACGAGAGACTACAGTCACATACTTCTCAAAAGCTTTATTTTCTTTAGTTATGTTTCATGTAAGAAATAGTAGAACATAGAATGAGAAAATCATACTTGCCGAGTAGAGAAAGGTTTTATAAGAATAATATCAAAACCCAGAACCACAAAAGAAAAAGGTTTTAAACATATGCCATGGGAAAAATAAAATGAAGACGCGATTGTCAAAATAAAAGCAAACTGGGAAGTTTATTTGCATGTTAAATCACAGTTGCATGGTTAATTTATAGGGCTTCTATGAACAGTAAGAAAAAGAATCTGATATAAAAATGAGAAAAATAAGTGTTCACAGAAAATGATTCTTAAAGATGTGAAAAATTACAGTAAATGTGTATTAAAATTAATTTATATTCCTATGTAATACACAGTAAACACTTAAAGGTGTTATGAAGCACCACTCTGCTGGTAACACTGGCAAAATACACATTCTCGCATTTTGCTATTAAGATTTTCAGTTTGTTAAACCTTTTGCAGGGAGTAGTTTGCCAGTATCAAGTTTTAAGTACACATACTCTGATTCTGACCTGAGGATTTATTGGCAGATGTACTCACTAATGCGAGAAAGTCACTACAACATTATTTGTAAATAACAGGTTGGAAGTAACCTAATTATCCAGTAATAGCAGCAGTTGACTAAGTTATGGTTCATCTGCACAGCAGAGCACCTTTAAAGAGAATGAAAGATTCTGGGCTTCTGCCTGAACAATTAAAATGCTACATAAGACAACTACACTCCTATTTCCCAAAGCCCGGGTTCAAACCCTAGCCTCACTTCCAATTCCAGCTTCGTGCTAATGTGCACCCCACAAGGCAGCAGGTGGCAGCTCAGGTAGGTGGGTTCCTGCAGCTCACCTAAGAGGTCCAGCAGGAATGCCTGACTCCTGGCTTTCCTTTGATCCAGCCATGACTAGCTATTATAGATATATGGGAAGTGGATCTGTAGGTGGAAGATTTCTCTCTCTGCCTCATTCTTTGTCTCATCAGTGAATAAAAATAATGGAGAGCTTTAATTGTACTAGTGTAGAATAATCTCTAAGAATTATCATTAAGTGTAAAAAATAAGATATAGAATGTATAATATTTTGATACTTGTGCAACATTCCAAAATAATATTTTTAAATCTATGCTTGAAAGAAAAATCTGATTTTAATTTCGTGAAATTTCTATATTTTCCTATTTTACTGGTACTTATTTTATCCTAAGAATCCAGTTTTTAGAACGTAAAGCTTTAACAATGCCTAGAGGCTAGGAAATATGTATTTGTTGTTTTAATAAGTTTAAGTATATTTTTGTGACTGATTATGGTAAAAGAAAATGGGCAAATATTCAGAAATATTTTGGCAATTACAAGAGGCTGCTATACCTAGATGGGGGAAAATGCCGGGAAATCGTGCCAGAATTTAAGGGAATGCCTAAAATATATTTCAATATTTTACTTTATTAGGGATATATTTTGAGACACAGACCAAGGCTCTTTGTTCACAACTTAGGGAAAAGAATGTATTGCACCTAAAGCATTGTTTATTACCTTACATTATTTCAAACCTTTTATAAGAAAACTGGCTGAGGAGTATAGTTTTTATTTGTTTTATATTGACAATATAGACTTTCTACTTTAAATGTATCATGAAAAATTTTATTTTCTACTCTCTCTTTTGTAGGCAAAAACAAAAGCTCGACCAGAATTGGCCTTATTTATGATAAAATACCTGATGACTTTAATTGTTGGCATCTCACCTGTCTTCTGGGTTGGAAGCAAAAAGACGTGCACAGAATGGGCTGGGTTTTTTAAACGAAATCGCAAGAGAGAGTAAGAGCCTGTTGAATTGTCTGACATTGTTTTAAAATGAATAGATCAGAATATCAAAGAACTACTCAAAACATTGTATACTGGAGTTTGATTATGTAAAGCATAACTTCAGCTGGATGTGCCCTCTGAATGTTGGGACCTTTCTCTTGCCAGAGATAGGTTTTGACCCTTGGTATCTGAACATACTGTTCTGTTGAGCTACGAAAGGAAGATTTCTAAAATGCACGTTTTCTCCTTCCATGGATTATTCTTAACTACTCTCATTGGATTCCTTAATTTGGGTATAGCATTTTTACTAAATTTACCCCTTTTATCAATTACAAACGATTAAGTGGGATCAAACATGTGTAAGGAAATCTGTAAAGTATGATTCAAAGATAAGTGCTGCAATCACTGCTTACTACCTATACATTTATTTATACAGGTCTGACGTAATCTCACATATTTGTCCTGCCTTAAATGCTATGCATTCAAACTTGGAATATTGTACAATAATGTAGATTTATATTCATGTGTAAATAATTCATTTTAGTTATTTATATACAATACATACCATGAAGTACAGACATAAACGTACTTATATATTTATATGAATGCTTCAAAAAGTTAATGTGAAATGAAATTTAAAGATGAGTTTGGTGGAAAACAAAAAGCCCTTGAAATCCAATCCCTTTTTTTTTTAAATAATACACATTTTTCATGAACTTTTTAAAGACCTCCTTAGGCATGGACTTCAAAATTTTTACACCAAAATAAATCTCTTTTATTCCACTTTTCTTGAATTTTTTTTCTTGAATGTTTTTAATTACCCCTGTATATTCCACACTAACTTCAATGTAACTTGCTAAGTTTAATGTTAGAAGAAAATAATTAAGCAAAACCCATTAATTATATCCCATCTCATCTGTCTTCTCATTCATTTTTATGTTGGACATATTTATATGTTTCTGATACAAATGTAACTAGTTCCTTTATACTGGTTTGAGTTTACCCACCCTCAACCTCTGATTTTATCGATTTCATTTCTTATCAACTTACTATTTATTTATATGGAGAAAACAATTAAGAGTATATGCACACAAAAGATTTTACTTGATAAATATCTATTATAATACTATAGTATTTGTAATACCAAACTTTATAAATGATATAGAATTTCTAACTTTAACAAGTGAGTATTCCAAAAGATATGATGTAGGGAGCTTCTTATCCTCATGCCTTTTTCCATGTACTTTTTAAAGTTTCTGCAACCATGATACCATTTAAGGTTTCTGCTATAATACTTCACTGTATTGAATGAAACCTCTCCTCGGATTGCCTTACAGTCCAATCAGTGAAAGTCGAAGAGTGCTCCAGGAGTCGTGTGAATTTTTCCTAAAGCACAATTCTAAAGTGAAGCACAAGAAGCACTATAAGCCAAGTTCACATAAGCTGAAGGTCATTTCCAAATCCATGGGCACCAGCACAGGAGCCACAGCGAATCACGGCACTTCTGCAGTGGCCATCACAGATCATGATTTCTTAGGACAAGAAACGTTAACCGAAGTCCAAACCTCCCCAGAAACCTCAGTGAGAGAGGTGAGAGCAGATGGAGCAAGCACCCCCAAAGTAAGAGAACAGGACTGTGGGGACCCCATCTCCATGGTAGCGACCAGCTCCAAACTCTGTGGGGAACAGGCAGACGGGAAGGGCCTGGCAGGCGGCAGTCGGGATAGGAGCAACGTGTCTGAAGGCGTGCAGAGCGAAGGAAGGTAAGATTCTGTTTTGTTGTATAAAATTGTCATGATTCTAAATGCTGCATTATTTGTTTTTGTAACAGCACATTTGGAGAAAAACCAAAAGCAGGAATTATCTGAGTTCAGTTTATGAGTGTGCTATTTAGTGATCTGTAGTTAGTTCTTAGCTATGACAAGAGCATTAATATATATTATCAAATAGGAAAGTGATGTTCATTTCTGGCACTAACTGTTATTAGTTGCTTGAATGTTAGGTAATTTCAGCTGAAATACAGGCTAGGTTTTAATTAATACTGCATTATGGTCCTGTCTAAAATAATTCATTTTATACAATAGGTAATTGTAAAGTACTTTTTTAGTTTCTGCTCGTGGATGGATATTTAATATTATCAATGTGTTATCAGAAAAAAAATTCAGATTTTCCCAGATGATTATAGGTGACTAAACTGGGTAAATATAAAACTTTCCAGAATACCAGTAGCTTATTACTTTCAAGTCTCAGACTAGCCGCAATGCAGCTTTTGTGTGTTTGCACAGCAGTTTTTGTTCACCTGGATTGTAATTTGATGAAGTCTTACTCATATTTGTGTTGCCAACCTCCCTCACGGTGTTATACCGTGGTGGGAAATCCACAGATGATTTTAGATGGAGGGGAGCAATCCCCCTTTCTAATTGTATTCCTCCATGGGGCGCTGTGCTTAACCCAAGCATAGATAGGGCTTGAACTCATTGATATCAGCGGAAAGTGTATTAAAAAATTTTTTTTAATTTGTGTTTTGAAACGTTAGTGCCTAAAGAGTATTACTTAGTCATCTGCTCGAGGTGGACACTTGTTGAGGGCCAAACTCATGAGAATGGATAGCGGTCGTAAAGACCTCTGACATATGTGTGCATGTGCGTGTATCTGTACCAACAGTTGTCTTTTGTCTAGGGCAAGTCCAAAGAGTGATGTCACTGAAACTGGCCCAGGGCCGAGCCTTGGTGTGCAAACGCCCAGCTCCCCAGACGCAGGCAGCCCCAAGGGCTCCACATCACTGCTTGTGCGCTCGGTTCCGGCAGTTAGAAAGGAGCAGGTTGCTGGAAAGCCTCCAGACACGTGATGGACATCTTCGCCCGCTTCCCTGAGGCGAGTTCATGCTGCACTGGGGACGCCCAGGGCACTGTCTCACCAGAATGACTGTCCCCGTTCTTTGGCACTTAGAGCTGGGTTACTACAGTTTCACACTGGAGAAAATAGATCTCAAGGATAATAGAGTTCCTTCCCATCAAGATTAGTGTATAACGACATAGCTAGAAGCAGAAATGTGCAGGTTAGTCCTTTCTAAATCATGTAGGGGACGGGAGTTGGAAGAATCTTCCTTTCCTACTTTTACTGTGGCTGAAAGTCTTTTAGACTGTACTGTGCTATTTCACTGTTTTTATAAAAATTCCAGATTTTTCTATGCTGAAGAGTTTAAAGCTTATTCTTGTATCATATATATACATATATATATATATGTATTTGAAGATAAGCTTCTATGTATTTGAACATTTTTGGAAAATCTATTCAAATATTTTATTATGTTCCCTGATATTTTAGCACTGTTTTGATAGTTTTACTCTGAATATAAAAAAACATTGCATTCTTTTATAATGTAAAAAACTGTTGACACACCAAAAGATTTTGTAATAGGAATTCACTCTGGAGTGAAATCACTGTGGAGAATGGGCTTGGTGTACCATTATCCCGTATCAGTGTGCCGGTTGGAGTCCCAGCTGCTTCACTTCTGAGTCAGCTCCCTGCTAACGTGTCGGCGGGGGCAAGAGAAAATGGCCCATGTGCTTGTGGCCCTGCCACCCAAAAGAAAGTTTCAGGCTCCTAGCTCTGCCTGGCATAGCCCTGGCTGTTGTGACCATCTGGGGAATGAACCACTTATTGGAAGATCCCTTTCTGTCTCTCCCTCTCTCCCTCCTCTCTGTCTCAGTGTCCCTACGTGGGACAGACATTTGTCCTAGTGGCTAAGCACTGATTGAAATGTCTGTACCCTATGTCAGAGTACCTGGAGCCAATGCTGGACTTCCCAGCCATAAGGGCCTTTGGGGAGTGAAATAGTATATGAAAGAGCTCTCTCCTTCTTTCTGTGTGTATCTGCATCTCAAATAAATAAATGAAAGTTCTGAAACCACTTACTTCCACCTGACAGTCTTAAATGTCGACTGAAATAAGGTGCTTACTGAACGACTGACCAATGGTGATTGTGTCATGCTGCTCGCAGACGCCTCTTTGTTATTTTCTATCATCTTCATTTTTAAATAAAGTGTCCTGAAGGATCAGTAGATGAAATGTTAGTCTTTTATAAATGAGGCCAAGTGCACTTGATTTCTTTTTTCTAACGTTTTATTAACACCCAAGGTATATTTTCCAGTGGTTCCTTCTACTTGCTTTTCAACATTTAGAATGCCACAAACATTTTGTATTGTTCAGTGTCCTTCGCAGACATTATGCAGGGTTCATCAGCTAAGTAGTATTTTGCTAAACATTCGAAAGTACATCAACAGTATGTGCCAGTCAGATGGGAAACAGTCTAGTCCTGATAAGTGAACAGAAGCATTTTTTTGTGTGTAACATGCCTTAAGCTATTAAGGATTTTCTTATTTTTGTTCCTCCTTCTTTCTTATTGCTTGAAAATGTTTTTCTGATGTTTTTGTCTACTAAGGCATAAAAAGAAAATTATCATGTACTGTATGGAAAATGTTGTACATATTAATTTTTCCACATTTTTAAACAGATAACTTTGTATACAAAAACTTTTGTCTAGTGTGAGCTTTTCATTAATAAAACTGTCTTTGTGTAAGAGATGGTGTTCTGTGGTTGGCTTCCGTGTCTTTTTCAGATTAGTGTCTGAGGCTGTGGAGCAGAAGCCTGGTAGCTGGTGATGGGGAAGACAGTCACGACTTGCTGCTGTCACATCTTCCTCTCTAAGGCGTAACTCATACAGCCTCATGTGCTGCCATATTTACCATAGTTTTTACAACCAGTGAGAGACCTGGGGGTGAAGCAAAAGGAACCCAGGACCCTATTTTCACTCCTAACGGTAGACTGGGTAACTTGGACATTCATCCTAAAAAGAGAAAGCTGAACTATATGGATGAAATAAGACAGTGTCACAAAAACATATTCTCCAAACATGGAAAAGTTCATACAATAGAAATTGCCAGTTAAGATTGGGAGAAGAGGGCCCAGCGCAATGGCCTAGAGGCTAAAGTCCTCACCTTGCACGCACTGGGATCCCACACAGGTGCCAGTTTGTGTGCTGGCTGCCACGCTTCCCATCCAGCTCCCTGCTTGTGGTCTGAGAAAGCAGTAAGAGGACGGCCGTTCCCCAGCCCCAGGTACTGAGGCAGTTGGGAGGCTGGATGTGGCTTCTCTTATCTCTTCTCCCCAGATACAGGAAAAAGGAAAAGAAAATCCTGATTCTGGACCCTTCCCACCCTAATCAACTATGTAAACATCAAAAATAAAATTGAGAAAAAAAAAGATTTGAGAGAAAATGGTACAGCACAATATTCAGCTAACTAATCCTCACTTCTAAGCATCCCATGTGGATGCAGGTTCTAGTCCTGTCTGCTCCACTTCCCATCCAGCTTGGGGCTTTGCCATCCACATGGGAGACCCAAATTGAGTTGCAGGCTCATGGCTTCAACTTGGCCCAGCCCCAGCTATTGCAGCTATCTAAGGAATAAATCCAAATGGATGGGAAAAGATTCTCTTCCTCTTTTTTTTCCTTCTCCATCTGTAATTCTGACTTTCAAATAAATAAATATTTTTAAAATAAAATTCAAAGGAACTTGCAATCCCAAACTTTGAATGAGAATGCTTATTGAGCAACAAGAATTCTTTCATTGTTGGCAGGAGTGCAAATAGTGATCTGAAAGCAGTCTGACAGTTTCTGCACCGCTAACCGTGGTCTCATCACACGATCAGCAGTTGGCGCCTAGGTGTTTATTCAGCTGACTTACGCTGGTAATTCACCCTCAGCATGGAGCATTACACTCCACTCCCTATGTCTGACCATGTTTCCTTCTTTATGTTTATACATCTAGATAGATAGATAGATAGATAGAGCTTTCTGTTACATGATTTTAAAATTTAATTTGAAGATATGTAATTTGTTCTTAAAAGGGAACAGAGGACATTTTGTGTAGCAGTTAAGACTGTTTGACACGCCCTCAACCCAAGTCGAAGTGCCTGTTTGAGGCCCAGCTGTGCTTCCGATTCCAGCTTTCTGCTAACCCTGGGATGACAGCTCAAGTAGTTGGGTCCCTGTCATGTATGTGGGAGAACTGGGATTAAGCTCTGGTCTCAGCCTGGTTCATCTAGGCTATTGCAGGGGAGTGAGCAAAAAACATGGGAGTTTTTTTCTTTATTTCTCTGCCTGTGACATTAATATACTTCTTTTAAACAAATCACATAGGAAAAATTGATTCTTATTATTTTGTTATATGACTTTATCAAAGTCCTCTAGTCCCTGTGATAGACTTACAGCTGACTTCCTGGATTTTCTAGCTGACTGATCTTTCCATCTCAAGTAGAGGGAATTTCTTTTGTCCTCTGTTAGAACTTTAAGCCAGGCATCATTAGTACTCAAGGTAGCAGGAACTGGCATCTTTGTCTTAATTATTTTTTTTTCAATTTATCTGAGAGACAGAAACAGAGATACAGATGAAGATCTTCCACCCACTGATTGACTCCCCAAATGTCTGCAAACAGCCAGTAGACCAGGTTACATCTGGAAAGCTGGAACTCAACAAAGTTGAGGGGACCGATCGCTTGAACCACCATCTACTGCCTCCTGGAGTGTGCATTAGCAGAAAGCTCTATAGGAAATAGGGTATCCAGGACTCAAACCAGGGACCACAGGGAATCTGGGCATTCCAAACAGCATCTTAACTGCTGCACCCAGTGCCTGCTCCTTGTTCCTTTAATGAAAATGTCTGTAGTACTTCATCACTAAGATCAGTGTTGGAATTTGATGTTGTTATTTTTAATGGTTTAACAAAAAGTCCTATTCCATGCTATAGTTTCTTTTAAAATTATTTATTGGTATTTAATTTCATCTAGCATTTTTTGGATGTATTAGTAATAAGATATCTGCTCTAACAAATAATCCTCAAAATCTTAGTAGCTTAAGCAACCGATGTCAATCATATGACAGGTACACATGTTCTTAAGTGATCATCCAAATGACTACTCAGACACCACCCAACACTTCCGCCTGTGACTGTGACTTCTTGCCTAAGGAGGAAGAGATTGACTAGATGGTTGTACAGAAGAAAGTGTTGTGGACTCCAGTTGGAAGTGGTACACATTTTTAGCTATGCCCCTATCACCAGAACTTAGGCACAGATCCACATCTAACAGCAAAAAAAAGGTTGAAAATATAATCTAGATGAGTGTCTGGTGTGGAAAAGAAACAAATTTAATGAGCTGTTAGCCAGTCTGTCAATCTAATAATAGGACATGTTAAATAAACTCTTTAATAAATCTAATAATGCAATCTTTCAGTTCTTTGAACAACCCCACTCGATCATTAGGTAGCATTTAATATACTGCTGGATTTGATTTGCTGATGATTTATTTAAAAGTTTCCCTGATATCCACTTATATTCTACATGATTTATCAACCTTCAGCATAATATTTAGAATCAGTAATCCTATTTTTAAAAATATTCTTAGCAAACTTTGAAAACATAATCTAAGGGAGGCAGTGATTTTTATTTTTCATGGGACAATCTCTGATGCAAAAAAGAACCTGTTATCTCACAAGAGTGACTTATTTTTAAAATAAGTCAGACATAGCATTTTCCAGGCAAGAAAGTTTATTTAAATTACATTATATTGAGGGTACTTCAAAGGTTTGTATCAATGGAATTAAAGCAATGTTGGGGCTGACATGATGGCTCAACTGGCTAATCTTCTATCTCCAGACATCAGGATCAGATAGGGGTACCAGTTCTAGTCCTAGCTGCTCCACTTCCCATCCAGCTCCCTGCTTGTGACCTGGGAAAGCAGTCGAGGACAGCCCAAAGCCTTGGAACCCTGCACCATGTGGAAGACCCAGAAGAAGCTCCTGGCTCCTGGCTTTTGTAATTGGCTCAGTCCTGACTGTTGGTGGCCATTTGGGAAGTGAACCACTGAATGGAAGATCTTTCTTTCTCTCTTCTCCTTCTCTCCGTAAATCTGTATTTCTAATAAAAATAAATCAACCTTTTTTTAAAAAAAAAAAAAGATTATTGCAAAAAGAGAAAAAAGTCTTTAAAATGTTCCTAGAAATGCGAATTATAAAAAAAATGCATGGGTTTTCAAATTTTGTGCATGGAAATAAAGTTATTTTTC